TGTCAATTCGTCCAGTGGTTTTTGAGTTCTGTTAATCCCACAAACAAACATTACATTTTATTTATATAGATATAGCTTTGGATAGCATAGGGAAGGATTAACACCCCTGTGGTGTTTGTTTTGCTGTATGTGCCCCTGATCAGAAGATTTCACCTCACTTTCTATCCCTGTGATAATTGGATTTTGACCAATTTGGCTTGCTATGGAAACAAGGTTTGGTGATAAATCACCAGTGGAGACACCTTTTCCCCATAATAGCTCTTTCAGGAGTGAATTTCCTTTCCAAGGAGTAGTTTTCTCTCACATCCTGTTGTCTCACCGCTGTTCCTAACTATGAAGAAATGGATGCAACCAACTCCCATCTTGTTATTTTTACAGGTTATCACAGCTGGCCTATCTCCATTCTTCTTTGAAATTACAGTGAATGTACCTACAGTCTGTTGGTAAGTATATCACACACAATAGTTTGCTTATTCTACCTTTCCTCTGGATGTCCATACTATGTTCCTTCGTTTTTTCATTTCTAAACGCTGAACCACCATTGTTGAGTTGCCTTGTAGTTTAAACCAGTCCAAGATACTTTGCTGCCAGGGACGAGGCAGATATAATTCCCATCTAATTCCCTGTTAAAGGGCACAAAGTGCTAAAAAAGATAATCAGAAGATGAGTTAGATCTGAGGGAGAAAAATCTAATCCCATCCACAATCTTGATGATTGAAATGCCACGATACAACCATTGCTGCTGCTGCTGCTAATATTGCTGCTGTTGCTGTTTAAACCCAAGTAAATGGACTATTCATTGTAATCTTTGCACTTTGATGTTATGCCTGCTTATTCAGAATTTTTTTTTTTCGTGTCGGGAGTGACTTGAGAAACTGTGAGTTGCTTCTGGTGTGAGAGAATTGGCTGTCTGCAAGGACGTTGTCTAGGGGACGCCCGGATGTTTTGATGTTTTATCATCCTTGTGGGAGGCTTCTCTCATGTCCCCGCATGATTAGATTAGAACTGGAGCTGACAGAGGGAGCTCATCCACACCCTTCCCAGATTCAGATCTCTGACCTGTTGGTCAGCAGTCCTGTCGGCACAAGGGTTTAACCCACTGTGCCACCGGGGGCTAATAATAATAATAATAATAATAATAATAATAATAATTATTATTATTATTATTATTATTATTATTATTATTATAAGTCCCAGAAGCACTTTAGTAGAAATTAAGAAACTGCACCTACCCTAAAATCCCACATACCACCTGTCACATCAGCACTTTTAATCTGTACCCATTACTCTGGCCCGGCCCGCTTTTATTGTGTCTTGGTGTACTGTTTATTGCTTTGTTGTTTTTAATATTGCTTTAATTGTTTTTGATTTGCTTTAAGTTGTGTATTGTTATGTTATGTTTTGAGGCCTTGGCCTTTGTAAGCCGCATCGAGTCCTTCGGGAGATGCTAGCAGGGTACAAATAAAGTTAATAAATAATAATAATAATAATAATAATAATAATAATAATAGTTACAGAAAATGAGCACATCAAAATACTCTGGGACTTCTGAATTCAGACAGACAGAGTTTTGGAGCACAATACTCCTGACCTCACAATTGTGTTAAAAAACAAAGTATGCATCATCGATGCTGCAATCCAGGCGACAGCAGGATTGAAGAGAAACAACTGGAAAAGCTGACATGATATTAGGATTTAAAGATTGAAATGAAAATACTCTGGCACAAATCAGTAAAGGTGGTCCCAGTGGTGATTGGTATGCTGGGTGCAGTGCCTAAACACACTTAAACACAACTGGCGCTGACAAAATTACCATCTGTCAGCTGCAAAAGGCTGCCCTACTCGGATCTGCACGCATTCACCAATACATCACACAGTCCTAGACACTTGGGAAATGTCCGATGTGTGATCCACTACAACAGCTAACATAGTGACCTTGTTTGCTGTGCACTAATATTGTTGTGTTTCAAGTAATAATAACAATAACTTTATTGTTGTATCCTTCCACCATCTCCCTAAAGGGATTCAGGGTGGGTTACACACAGCATAAGGTGCCTAAAAACAGAACATAAAATAAGACATAATGTAAAATGCAGTAGAACAAAACATATAGGCATATAAAACAACTTAAGACTCAATATGACAGCGCTCAATAACCAATGGCAATAAGCTACTGTAAATGTAAATATGGTCAGTCTGTAAACAATAGGACAAGGGAATGGGATAAGTCCCAGGACTTTTTTCCCATCAAAGTTTCTCTCAATGTATTGTCAAAGGCTTTCATGGCCGGAATCACTGGGTTGTGGGTTTTTTGGACTGTATGGCCATGTTCCAGAAGCATTCTCTCCTGAAGTTTTACCTGAATCCTCTGAGGATACCTGCCATAGATGCAGGCAAAACGTCAGGAGAGAATGCTTCTAGAACATGGCCATATAGCTTGAAAAACCTACAGCAACCCAGTTTCTCTCCATGGCTGTGTCCCTTTCTGCAGAAAGCAAAAGGGTGTCAATATTCAGAGCTCTTGTCTCCTTGTTTTGGATTTATAAAAATAATTGTGTAATTATGAAATGATTGTGCTCTACCGTGGTTATATAACAATCTGCTTTTTCAAGAACAATGGAACTTCGCACTTTACAAAAACGGCAGGGAAGCTAGGAATTTGAGTGAGCATAATGCTATTAAAATCCAGACAGCTTTGCATACTTCCCCTGTTGGGGTGGGATGTGGGGGAAGGCTGTATGAACAAACAGTACAAAATTTTGTTTTATTTATAAAGTTTGGTAAGAGGCTTTGCTGTTTCATAAACTAAGCCTTGGGGCTAAAATGTGGGGGCATAATATTGAATTGTTGTAGGGGAAGTGGAACTCAGCCAGAATCTTGCTATTACTTTTTGAATGTGATGTTAGAAAAGGACTAGAAGACACGACCTGTCCTTGCTGAAGATATATGGAGTGTTTCAAAACAAAAAGTGGTGCCGCTGAACCCAAGCCACCTCTGGATTCCTTTGTTCAGACTGTGTTACACAGATTAGTGCAGGGTTGCAGGAAATGTCACGGCTTGAGCGATGATGTTTGACCGATGCCGAGAGCTGGGGATGTGCCCTCGGTGAGTGCATGGCTGCCGCTGTTTGATGCACCCGCCTGGCAGACAGTTATGTAAAGGGATAATAAAAAATCCACCCAATGCATTGTAAAGGCCCTTTCCTTTGGTGATCTTGCTATATTAAGAATGCCAAGCTGCTATTCTTTGCACAGTTCTGCTTTGACTCAAAATTAAGATTCCAAATACCTCCACTTTTGACATGCAAGGGAAAAAATGGCCAAAAACAAGATCATGGCACGTAGCCTATAATGTTGCATTTAAGCAGGAGTGAGACGGGTTCAAATCTCTCCTTTGCTATAAGTGTTCCTTTCAGGTAATATAGACTAAACATACAAGGAAAGGAAACCCACACCCCACCCCTCACTCATGTGTTTCCATCTTTCTTACTTGGAGAGCAATTTTCCGGAGATTTCCTATAAATGCAGAGGGGTTCCATGTAATTTAGAGCAGGGCTTCATAAACTTTTCAACTCGGGACCCCTTTTGGCACTAGACATTTTTACGTGACCTCAGTTATAGAAAAAAGGCATAAAAATCAAACATTTACTGATGACAAATCATCATTTGCAAGGCTGATTTCCCTTTTGTGGAGTACAGCCGAAGCATCTTCTGCCGAGTTCATGTAAACACTGCACAACAGATTTGTGTAAATGTCTACAACAGCTACTAGGCAGTGTTCAGGAATCATTTAGCGTTGCCAAATTGTTTGTGACCCCAACATTGAACATTTGAGGTTGGGACCCAGTTTAAGAAGCAGTGATTTATAGCACTGGGAGATCAGATTTTGACTCTTCTAAGCTACATTCCTGTGCAATTGTGTGTTGTGCAGGGCTCTTGCTTTAAAGGAAAAAGGAGGGGAGAATAATCGTTGGTGGTCTGGTATGATTTAAGGCAAACCGTCACACTTTTACTTGTCCTTCCCAAACAGCAAGTTACAACAATTTACTCACTGCACCCCCTCCCTGCAAAGAGGCACCTTTAATAGTGATTGTGTTACAGTGGAAAACAAAGTGTGTCACACCTACATTATTCCACAAACTTAATGCATCTTGTTGATATTACTTCCATCTTCTGGGACTTATAGTGGGCTGTATTTGCTGGGGGTTTGTTCCAGGATCCTCTGTGGATGCCAAGGCCTACCCAAATTCTATTTGTGTGCTTGCTGTAGTCCAGCCTTTAATGTGCCTGCACATGATCTCTCTGAGGATTCTGGGCCTGTTAGTCAGCCTGATGACACTAGGGATTCTGGGTCTGCAAGAGAGCAAGACCAGCAGGAGAGCCAGCAAAAGATTTTAAGCCCTGAAAAAGAGTGGTCTCTGTCTGAAGGCTACATTCCAGAAAGTCAGCTTGCTAGGGAAGCAAGGTCAGAAACGGAACTGAGCTCAGAGGATGAAAATGAAAGTCCAGGTGGAGAGACTAATGAGCAGTTAGATAAGAGATTTACATTTTGTCAACACAGAGCTTCTCAGGAGGGTTTACGAAAGTCAAGATGCCTATTAGCCAAGAAGTCCTTATCAATTTCCCAGGGGAGAAGGCATAATTTTCTGTCTATATTAGCAAGACCAGCAGACTGTTTCACCAGTCGAGGCAATGTTGGTGGTTGAATATAGAACTTATGTCATGTCAAGGGATTTCTAGTTTCATCCTCCATGTTTCCCTGAATTTCATGTTTTGGATTTATTCTGCCTTTGTATTCCTGGTTTTTGATGCTACTTGTGTACTTTGAATTCTGTGGATTATTCCTGATATTTGGACTTTGGTTTTTTTATACTATTTTTGCTGAATTTTTTCATATATATTCTTCAATAAACTGCTTTGCTAATTTACCTTGGATTGAAGTGTGTGTTAAGTACAGAGGTGATTCCCAGCCTTGCCTTTTGGAGAATATATATATATATATATATATATATATATATATATATATGTATATATATTCAAGCCATAGATGGTTGAATCTGTGTATGCAGAATCCATGGTTACAAAGGCCTAATGTATTTAATGATGAGGAAATATGTCTATATGGAAATTGATGACTTTTAGTAGCAATGTCTAGATTTATGCAAATTGCTGTTTGTAATTTCTTTTCTGTTTTCCTCACAGCCTTTTGCTTGCAGGATTTGCAGAAGTCTTACTTCTTTACACTGAAAGGAATGGCACGTGAATGCAAGGGTCGTTGAAAATGAAGAAAATAGTGAAATAATTTTCATCAGAAGTAACATTGACAATGGCTAAAATGTGAAAAATAACAGGAGAGAGTGCACAGGCAGGCAATTTTTGCACACTGCAGTCCTATACATATCTACTCAGAGGTAAAACCCGTTGAACACAATGGGACTTACTTCTGGGTAACTGTATAGGATTACAATCTTAATACCTCCTACTTACTTCTTCTGCACAATGTGATGAAGTTTGATTAACTGTTTTGTCAGCTGAACTACATTGTAGGAGTCAGCTAGGCCCAAATCTTTCCCTCCTCAAAATTATTTACACATTCCATACTGTATAGATCGCTCCTATACTACTCTGATCAATGATTGTGGCCTCTTTACCAGAAGATGTAATGTCAAGCTATATTATTCCTTATAGATCAGAATTAGCAAGTCTCTTACAAATTCCTGGGGTGACAGTATTTCATTTTAACTTACAATACACGTTATTAGTATGTTTACTCCTTCCCTGTGTGATATCCAATGTTGACAACAGCGTCAACAAAAACTAAAGAAGGAAAAGCATGGAGGAATTGTGGATTACATGGGATAGAACATTGCCATTACAATACATATCTGGCTTCCCATACTTCTGATATATTGACATCTTGTAAGACCCATCCCCCTCACACATTGTTTGCTGTACCCTGAGTTACTTCAGTAAAGTGAGTGGAAGGTACGGAAAATCTGACTGGATTTGAAAATTGTGGCATCTCATCAATGAAACAACGGAAGCCACCACAGGGCTTTTAAAAGGGCATGGTGTTATGCTATTATGAATGCTCTATTTATCTGTATGACTCTTCACCACCGACCAAGGTGGCCGAGGCTGATGGGAACTGAATTGAGAGACATCTGAAGAGTTAAAGGTTCCTGAGCCTCGATGGAGAGAGAGAGAGAAGCAAGCGCTGTGCTAAAGTCACCTTTCATGTCATGACTATTTGAAGATTAAGTGGTTAAGTTTTATATCTATGCAGACTTGAGTAGAAGGTATTCCTGCCTGCCTTGAGTTTAAGTACATGGAGAATTGGCATGGATGAACCATATTCCATGAAAGCAAAAGCAATTTCTGAAATGCCTTGGAAGAAAGTGCCCATTCTGTAGGATATTCCCTTCATTGAGTTGCACATTGCTCTCAGGAAGGGAACTAAATATCCACCACTGCTTCATAGCACAAGAAAAGTCTTTATTATGGAATATGTATATATTTTAGGGACTGTGGTAGGGACCAAGGGCTGAGTGACCTTAAACACTGTGAACACCCTGTTGCTATCTCAAGTAAATCTAATTGTAACCAGCATGGATTTGATTTATCCACCAGTAAGATGGAGCTATTGGAAGTCTTCCAATGCTTCCATCGTCAACTCTACTCTCTGCGTTATGCTGCCAGAGGTCAGAGTCTGACTTGTTGAGTTCAAGTTTGAGACATTTGTTCTCACCATGTTCTCATCAGAGAACATGAAACCATGATCTGATGCATGTCCAGGGACCCATGGAAAGCCCAGCTACAATTCTTTTACTACATGAAAGCTACACTGAATGTAAAATCATTAACAAATCATTCTTACTCATATGCTTCTGTGTTGCTTTTTCTTGCATTTGTTTTGTTATATTATAAGAAATATAAACATTCATCTTGAATTGGAAGAGGTGCAATGTCTGCTACATTTTTTGACCTCTACACAGTTGCTGCAACCATAGTGTCCTTGTTTATGGTTTTGAAGCTTATCTGCAATGGTTTAATCTGAATGCAGGCTGTTTACATATTGGCCTTTGAATTTCTTCCCCTACCAGCCATTTTGCTTCTAGACAGCTGGGTGAACTCCAATATGTTATTATTATTATCCATGCCCTCAAAACATTAGTCTTCTGCTTTATTCAATTACTAGCTTGAGTACTCAGCATTGCCCAGATTATTTGAAAAAGTCATTTTTTAACTGTGCAAAATGCATAAGTTTATTGGTGAACTACAACTCACATCATGCCAGGTTAACCCCAAAAAACTCTATCAGTACTTAAAGTTTGTTATGTTGGGCAAGTTTGCTCTAGATGCATCATGGGTGGGGTTCAGTGTTCTCTCTGGCTGTAGGGTAAACTACAACTCCCACTATGGTGAGTCAGTCATCTCAAACCCCACCAGTAGGTTGAGTTGGCCATATGGGTTCTGTGTGCCAAGTTTGGCCCAGATCCATCATCGGTGGAGGTCACGGTTTCTTTGGATGTTGTTGAACTACAACTCCCAGAAAGGAAGGTCAGTTCCCCCCAAACCCCTCCAGAATTCAAATTTTGGCATATCAGGGATGTGTGCCAAGTTTGATCCAGATCCATTGGTGTTTGGGTTCACAGTGTTCTCTGGATGTAGGTGAACTACAATTCCCTCAAATTAAGATGAATTTCCCCCCAAGACCTCCAATTTTTTTTTGCTGATCTTGGGGGCTCTCCATTCCAAGTTTGGTCCAATTCCATCTTTGGTGGAGTTCAAAGTGTTAATTGATTGCAGGTGAACTATAAATCTCAGTACCTTCAACTCCAAAATGTCCAGGCCAATTCCCCTCAGAACCCACCAGTATTCAAATTTGGGCATATCCGGTACACATGTGACGTTTGGTCCAGATCCATCATTTTTTGCGTTCATAGTCCGCTCTGAATGTAGGTGAACTGCAACTCCTATAAATCCCTCCAAAAACTTCCAGTATTTTTGTTGATCATGGGGGTTGTGTGCCAAGTTAGTTCCAAGTCCATCGTTGGTGGAGTTCAGAGTGCACTTAGATTACAGGTGAACTATGCCTCCCAGTACCTATAACATGGTGCATTCTCCCCAAACTTCTCTAGTGTGTTCGGTTGTTGATCACATCCTCTGTTTGCTATGTGCCATAGAAAATTATAGGAAAGGTTTAAGGGAGAGGCAGTGGGTGGGGTCATGCAAATTCCACACCAATGGAGAAAAACACTGGGATGTCTGTGGTGAAGGAAACATATAAAATCCAGGATGACATTGTCCCCTTATGAAAGCCCTAACTTGGGTGGTGGGTAGTATGGTGTTTGTGGAGGACATTGGCAGATCTCTTGTACATGTTCATGGCACTCACTATAACCTGCAATGTGATTGGAGGGAGGGCCATTGGTGTCTCCTGAGTAGTGGGAGCTATAGCTGTTTGTGGAAGCAGGAACTTGTCTGTGTAAGTAGACACACACATACATGTTTTCACTTTTATTATGTGGATAGATAGATAGATAGATAGATAGATAGATAGATAGATAGATAGATGAAGTCTCACACAGCAGAAAACAAATGGACCCTTATACAGCTTAAATGCCAATTGGCACATGATTGAGCAGATACTATGAAAAAAAATAACTGGGAAAAAGTGTTATGCAACCCTTCAAATTGTCTTGCAATCTGCCAGTTTGAAATGGAGAGCAACAGAAGTTGGTTTATGGTGGCCTCTGTATCTTTCATGCTGAGGGAATTGTCTTCACTCCTACTTTTGGTTTCACACCTGACAGCTATCTTGTTGGCAGCATGGATTGAGGATTTGGAGCTGTGCCACTCTATATCCCGACTCTCTTCTTGTTCTAGAACTCTGCCTCCCAAATGTTCTTTCTCCCATATCTCCCTAAAAACAAGACCAAGTCTTATAGTAATTTTTGCTCCAAAAGACGCATAAAGGTTTATTTTTTCAGGGTTTGTCTTATTTTTTCCATGTTCAACAATGTACGTTCATTCAAATGCAGTCATGTCATTTTCTTCTGGAACATCATTATAATATTCTGTCAATAGCTTAATTTATATTTAATTAAATATTAATATTATTTTATAATTAAATATTATGAAATTGAAACGGATGTATGAGGGATATCCGGAAAGTCAGGTTACAAGATTTTTTAAAAAATACAAAGAATTAATATAATTTAATAAAACTTACATAGATTGTAGCATAGGCATTACATTATTTTTCCACATCATCACCATTCAGTTCAATACATTTTGTCATCTATGCAATAAGTTTTTTATGCCTGTGTCATAGAAGTCTCCCGCCACCTTTTCCAGCCAGTTCATCACTTCCAAATTTCACCTCGTTGTCATCAGAAAAATGTGTTTTATCCAGTGTTCCGTCAATTTAGTGAACAGATGATCGTCACTGGGTGCAAGATCAGGGCTGTGAGAGGGGTGGCTTAAAACATCCCAACCAAATGAAGTCAACAACTCTTGTGTTGCATGAGCAGTGTGCAGATGTGCATTGTCATGAAGGAGACAGACAGAAGGTAAACTAATGAAGACGCTCATCTAACCTTCACCACAACGCCAGTTGATGAGCTACTGATGACTGGCACTGCTCGTTTGCTTCTGCTGGCTTCCCACTACACAGCAGTGATATCAACTTCCCCTGTGAAAATTCCCTGCGAGAGCTATATGCCTTGTAACCTTACTTTCTGGACAACCCTTGTACTACTGATAAATGTGGCTGTCTGGCTGACAGTCTTTACTGGGGCTTATTTGAGGGGTAGGGCTTATATTACAGTCATCCTAAAAATGGTGCTAGGGCTTATTTTCTGGTTAGGGCTTATTTTGGGGGAAACAAGGTAGGATTAGGCAAAATCCAGGTCCCACAATCTTTCAAAGTACAACAGTTAGTCACATATTTGGGACACGTGCGAAGGAATATGTATGTGCATGCAGTTACAAGTTTAGATCCGTATTGATTCAGCAACTCTTGCTTACTTTTTGAAACTCTGCAAATAGTTTACTATATGCATGTTGATTTTTTTCTCATGCCTGGTGGCTGTATTTCCAGGATGGCAGGTGAATACCTACTCTGGAGATGTGTTTGATATGTGTGTGTGTCAAAGTCTGTTTGTTTGTACCACAAAGGCTGGTACTAGGTGAAGGATTGGCCCTTTGTGATGTCCCTGGAAAAGAAAGGTGACATGTCTCAGGAGACCCGAGAGAGGAAGCAAAGAGCCACAAAGAGCTTCAAAACAGGAGAGGGGAGAAGGAGATGGAAAGAAAAAGACAAAAAGAAGGG